GATTTTAGTTGGGATTTAGGGGAAACTAGGGAAGTGAGTAGCCAGAGTGGAGGAGGGAGAGCATTCCAGGCATGGGGGCAATATCTCCACCTCTTTTCTTGCTCAATTTCCTTCCTACTTTACTTCACTCAGCAAATAGCTCCTGTACACAGTAATATATCACAAACATGCCTCGGGGCCAGATCTCTCACCAACTTGCAGACAAGAAAATCTAGGCAAAAGAATGTCCTAATATTCCTTTATAGCTAACCTGGAGGAATAATTAATCTTTCCAGATTCGGCAAACTCCAGTGACTAACTCCCCCAGGATTCTCACTCTTAACAAAGAGCTATGCTCTCTGCAAAGATATCATTGTGGAGTTTCATGTGACTTCAGGTGGGGGTTTTACATAACAAAATTTATTAATTAATTATTGGGAAACTATGATGGCTGCATGGTAACATTACGCAGAGTATTGCTGTATTTCTGACTTTCTGTTAATAGAGGTAATATCCTTAGGTTTAGGTAGGGATGTAGTGAAGGCATTTAAAATGTATTATGTATTTGTGTGTTAAATATTATTTTATGTATTATCTATTTTACTTATGCATTGTATATTTAGGTATTTATATTTTATTTCTGCTGTCTTTAGAAAATAGAATAATATCTAGCATAACTTTCTTTAAAAACTAATTCATATGTCCTGTCACTTAAAGGTATTAGGAGAGAAAGCAAGGGAAAAGCAAAAAAGAGACCAGTAAAAAGGTTGTCTCCAATATCCAACACTTCTCCTACAAAAAGGAATTAATAACTTAAGGTAGCTTTTTTTTTAATTTTCAAAGACATTGCAAAGGAAGCAGAGAGAAGGAGGCAAGACGGGGAACAATCAGGTGAAGACTGAAAGGCAACAGAGGCAGAAACAGAAGTGATATCTTTGGGGCATGTACAACATGCCCCCTGGACATGGGAGGGAACTAATGCACAGCCGTCCGATATAAGGCTAATAGGGTCAGCCAGAGGGTTTCAATGATCCGGACATTTTGTTAAGAGTTTTCTCTGCCAAGAAAAAAAAAAGAGCAGCATACATACATATGTATGCATGTATGTATGTATGTCTTTCTTTGCCTATGTTACTTGATAGTTTCACTCTTCAAAAGGAGAAGGGAGCAGTAAGAGGAATTCCTTCTCTGGACCTGATTATGTCCAACAAAAAGAAACTTGTTGGTGAAGTAGAAATGATAAGAACTTGAGGAAGATGGGGAACTAAGTGCTTTGTCTTAGAATCTGTGATAGAAGAGACATAAGGCAAGCAACGTGACATCCATTCTAGATTTGGGAGAGTAAATTTCAAGGAGTTCCGAGAAAGGAGGGCTGGGGAGATCTCAAGTTTAAAAGAAGATGCAAAGTAACAGTTTCAATAATGAAGAAAATGGGAAGTGGTCTAAAGGGATCAATGTGGATGCACGGGGAACTCAATGACCAACTTAAGATTTTTAAAAGACCCACACAGAATACTACGGAAGCGAGGGCAGTTGATGGAGTATGAATACAAACCTACCACAATGTCCTAGGAATGGTTTCAGAAGTGCTACAGTAAGCCTCAGTGGAAGTGGAAAGTTAAGGACAAAAGGAGTTTGTTTTTAAAGATCTATCGGGGTGAGGCCAAGGAACACTACTACAGCTACTACTATTGCATGGCGCAATAATTACAGATGACCAGGTAGAACTACCCAAGTCTTATTTGCTTCTGTTTTTTCTCTAAGGAGAAAATCCTTGAAAAGACAGAACAAAAATGGACAATAGAGAGTTAAAACACAGGACAAGTAGGGAGAGAATATGAATACACTTGCTGCTTTTGTTCAAGTCAGTAGGCCCTCAGACCAGGGTGCTGAAAGAAATGGAAGGTGTGATTGCTCAATCAGTCAGTTTGCTTTGAGAAATCAGGTAGGGGGGAAGGACTGCAGGATTGGAGAAGAGCAAGTGTCCCAATTTTCCCTAAAAGGGAAGAAGGTAGAATATGTAAACTTTAGGCCTATGGGCTTGATTCAATTTCTGGAAAAATTCTGGAATATATTATTTTTAAAAAGATGATTAGTGTGGTTCTAGGAAAAGGAAGTAGTGATTCCAAAAAGTCAGCATTGCTTTAAGGACAAGTCTTGACAGATGAATTTCATTTCCTTTTTGGATGACATTTCCCTGACTCACAAAATGCTTCATGTATAGTTTGCTTAGATGCTGGCTGCACATTTTACAAAATCTCTTATCAAATCCTTGCAGGTGAGATGAAGCCCCGTGCGTAACATGATACCACAATTAGGAGACGGCTGCATGGCGCTGTGGTTAGAGTGTTGGGTTGGAGTCAAGAGGACCTGACTCGAATCCTGTCTCAGATACTTACTTGCTTTATGATGCCGGACAAGTTGATTGCCCTCTGTCTGCTTCAGTTTTCTCACTTGCAAAACAGGGATGATGACAGAAACCAATTATCACAGGGCTGTTGTGTGTATCAAATGAGATAATATGTAAAGTGCTTTGCAAACAAACTGGACATCCCAGTTTGGAATGACACTGATGATGTGACGGGTGTCCAGGATGGTGAAGGTGCTTGAGTCTGTCATGAAGAACACTGGAAAGAACTGGGTATGTTTAACCTGGAGAAGACAAGACTCCAGGGAAACATGATAGTGAATATGTCAGGTATGCAGTCACGAAGGAAGGGATTACTCTTGTTCTGTTGAACCTGAAAGGCAGAAGCAAGAGCAGTGGACGGAAGATGTAAAAAGGACAATTCAGTAAAAACCAAACCAAACTGAACTTCCTCTACCAAAACAACAAAGAAACTGCTTAAAATTAGAAATGGGCTACCTCCAGAGGTGGCAGCCCTCCTTGTCCTTGGAAGTCTTCAAGCAGACACTAGACGACCATCTGTCAGGTATGGCGTGCTCAGGATTCTTCTCAACAAAAGCTCTCACATCTACTACCTTTTCTCATCTGACTCCGGTGCAGGCCCTCATCACCTCTTGCCTGGACAACTGCCATAGCCGATGATGGGTCTGCTTGGCTCAAGTCTCTCCCCACTCCATTCCATCCTCCATTCACCCACTGAAGTGATTTTCCTAAAGCACAGGTGTGACCCTGTCATCCCCAATCCCTTTCTCAATAAACTCTAGCTGCTTCCTATTACCTTCAGGATCAAATACAAAATGCTGTGTTTGACATTCAAAGTTCTTCATAACCTAGCTCCCTCCTACCTTTCCACCCTGACACATATTCTTTGATGCAGTGGCACTGGCCTCCTGGCCATTTCACCAACGAGACACTCCATTTGTCAGCTCTGGACATTTTTTCCAGCAGTCCCTCAGGCCTAGAATGTTTTCTTTTTTCCACTTCAACTACTGACCTTCCTAGTTTCCTCTAAGCCCCTTTTACAGGAAGCTTCCCCCAACACCTCTTAATTCCAGTGCCTTCCTTCTGTTAATTATCTTCTACTAATCTTGCATATAGCTGGCTTTGTATATATTTGTTTGCATGTTTCTTTCCCTATTACATTGTAAGCTTCTTGAGGGCAGGAACTCTCTTTTGCCTCTTTTTGTATCCCCAGCTCGTAATACAGTGCCTGGCATATAATAAAGGCTCTTAATAAAAAAAGATGGGGCAGCCAGGTAGCACAGCAGATGGAGCACCGGCCCTGGAGTCAGGAGGACCTAAGTTCAAATCTGGCCTCAGGAGGACCTAAGTTCAAATCTGGCCTCAGTCACATAACACTTACCAGCTCTGTGACTCTGGGTAAGTCACTTAACCCCAACTTCCTCACCAAAATAGATAAATAAGGATTTATTTTCATGTACGGGTTGGACTAGATGACCCCTGAGTTTTTTTTTCAGTTCTCAAATTCTATGATTTTGTGATTCTGCTTCCTCCTCATTTGGGGCTCATATAGCTTTTGCTGTTCCATATTCTTTCTCCTTTAACCATTTTGTGCAGCTCTCACCTGCCTGTCTTGTTATTTCATCCAGACGGGGAATTCCCACTTAGAAACTTCCTCTACCAATGCAAAGTGACCTCTTCTCAAAATTTGTGCTTTTAAGACTTTAAGTTGCCTAAGGGTGCTAAGAGGTTAATGACCTGCCTAGAGTCTCAAAGCCAACATGTGTTGGAAGAGTTACTTGAACTCAACTCTTCTAGACTCCAAGGCCAACCCTCTCTATTCTAACACGGCAGCCAAGTTCAATGAACTGGAGGCTGATTAGGAAGAAGGCACCTGAACTGCTACTTCGCATTGCTTATATTACTGATCTTTCCCTTCAAGGCTTCCCCAACCAATTAACCTGTCAGGATCTGCCCCCACCCCCAGCCTGACCTGCCTCATAGCATTCTGTACCTTATCTAGTTACATTCTAATTTCTACTATGGTTTTCTGTTGCTCTCTTACCTAGTCTGCTAGATAGACTCTGAACTCCCACTGACTAATGCCTAATGAAGAGCTTTACACACAGCAGGCAGTGGATAAACTTTTGCTGTAAATATTTTTGTTAATGGCAAGAATCTGGTCTTCTATTTTGCATCCCTCCACTCCTCGAACAATGCCTTCCTGGCTGACAGTAGCTCTGTTTTAAGAACCTATAATGGCTCTTGCTGTGAGAAGTGTGGAATGGTGGACAGAGGGCCTGCCTCGGGGTCTACAAGAACAGCATCCACCCCCTTCCTCTTGTCACATATTGGTGACATGACCTTGGGGAAACCTCTGAAATCTCTCCAGTTCCAGGCAACTTTCTAAAACTAAATTACAGAAGAGTTGAGTTTTCAGAAGAGGAAGATACCTCTATATCTGAAGCTCCCAACACTGATGAAATCACATGTTCTAACCAAAAAATGACTTAACACATCATGTCCAAATTCTTCTGCCTTTTTTTTGTTTTAGATTTTAAACTTTTAATTTATTCAAAACGAACCCAATGATCTAATAGTAATAGCTAGCATTCATACAGCACTTTATAGTTTGCAAAGGCCTTTACAAATACCTCATTTGAGCCCCATAACAACCTTATGAGAGAGGTGCTATTATTGTACTGATATACATTTTAAAGATGAATAAACCGTGCCTGGGAAAGTCAAGTGATTTCCCCTGGAGTCAGACACACAGCTAGTGTCTAAGGCTGGATTTGAACTCAGGTCTTCCTGACCCCAGGTCCAGCACTCTCCACTGCGCCTCCCACCTGCCCAAGTTTTCTGTTTTTCTGACCCCAAGGAGGGAACTAAAGTCCAAGATTCATGAACAGAAAACACCAGACACATGCGGGTCTGGCAGAATCTGGGCAGACCCACAAAACAATCATCGAGTAGGGTGGTGTTCCCTTCACGCTGGCCTTTGCTGGAAGCTGGTACTTTTTTTCTTCCCTGATGTGGTCACAACAGCCACTCTCTGCCTCATTGTGAAATGACCTTCACTTGGGTTCTGGGAGAAACTTTTGACACTCATGGGTCAGTCAAAAAGCATCTGCACAATGCCAGCATCCCCAGACTTTGTGGCCTTGGGGATTGTTCTCCAGCTTGCCAAGGTTCGAGTCAATCTTTTACCACTCAGCAAATCTGAACAAGAGGTGAGCCATACGGTAATCTAACAATGGCGAGAAGAGGCAGGTAGGTGGCTAGGTTGATACAGCATGGGGCCTGGAGTCAGGAAGAGCCAAATTCAAATCCAGCCTCAGACATTCGCCACCTGTGTAACTCTGGGAAAATCCCTTAACCTGTGCTTGCCCCAATCCAATGGGGGAGGAAATGGCAAACACTCCAGGGCCAAGAACCCCTGACTGGACACCAGCACCACCGGACAGTAGACAGCCTGGACCTGGCCTGGCTGGGTGAAATGATCATCTGCACCACAGAACTGCAGGCCTCTACTGGGGTTTTCCATCATTTCTAATGTCTCTAGTTACTTTACTCTGCCGACAAGATCTTCACCTTAAAATCCACGTTTGCTGTGTTGAAGAATTTCTGAACCCCGAGCTCCTTGAGAGCCCAGGAAGCATCTCACCCACTGGTCAGATCACATGGCTGAAGGTCAAACAGAGAGAGTGGCCAAACTGACAGGATACCGCTTGTGACCAGCAGCGTTCTGCAGCATTTGAATGGACTCATAGGGCACAGACTGTCCCCACAGAAAAGTTAGGCAGGGAGTTCTCTAGCTGTGGGTTGAGTACAGTATTGGAAGGGTCTGGTGCAGCAGGGTTTTGTATATTCAGCCAAGGGGGATGGAGATAGTCGAGTCAGATTTTGTTGCTCAGTCTACGGCTTTTATTATTTAGTCTGCAGTGGAATGGGTGGTAATTTGGTCAAGCAGCACATCCTGATGACCAGGTTATTTTTCCTCCAGAAAAAGCCTCATGGCTCATCTACCCAGACCTGACTCTATGGTAGCATTTCTGGCAGTGAAGGTTATTATCATGCCTGTCTTCAAGAAACCAGTCTTCACCCTGCCAACTGGCACAGTGGTAGTACCTCTGCTCTGGGAGGCATCCTACAGAGGCAACTGGAGATAATTTGATGGAGGAACGATAGGGTCCAGGGCTTCTATCAAATGATGTCCACCGGCATTGCCCTTGCACACTGTGGCCGGCCAGAGATGGGCATGAAGGTGGCAGAGGCTGGGGTGGAGCTAATCTTCCTATGTAGGTGCTTACTTCCGTGGCAATCTGCTGGAAAGGTTTCTCACGTATGTGGGCTTGGTGGAGTACATCTTAGCAGCGACTATAATGATTGGCTTCACATAGTATAGGTCAAGGAGAGAAGGTTATACTGGGAGAAGGAGAAAGGGAAAGGATGGAGTAAGTTATCTTACATAAAACAGACAAGAAAAGGCTTTGACAATGGACGGGAAGTGGGGGAAGGTGAGAGGAAATAAGTGAATCTTACTCTAATCAGATTTGGCTTAAGGAGGGAATAACATACACACTCCATTGGGTATGGAAATCTATCTTACCCTACAGGAAAATAGGGAGGAAGGGGATAAGAGAGGAGGGGATGACAGAAGGGAAGACAGATTGGGGGAGGGGTAATCAGAAGCAAACACTTTTGAGGAAGGACAGGGTCAAAGGAGAGAATAAAATAAATGGGGGTGGGGACAGGATGAAGACAAATATAGTTAGTTTTTCGCAACATGACTATTATGGAAGCGTTCTGCATGACTACACATGTATAACCTGTATACAGTTACTTGCTTTCTCAATGGAGGTGAGTGTGGAGGGAAGAAGGGAGAGAAATTTGGAACCCAAAGTTGTAAAAACAAATGTTAAAAATTGTTTTTACATGCAACTGGGAAATAAAATATACAGGCAATGGGGTATAGAAATCTATCCTGCCCTATGGGAAAACAGAAGCAGAAGGGGATAAGAGAAGGGGGGGGTGATAGAAGGCAGGGCAGATTAGGGGAAGGGATATTCAAAGTGCACACCATCTAGGGGTGAGGGGAAGGGAGAGACAGGGAGAAAATTTGGAACTCAAAATCTTGTGGAAGTGAATGTTGAAAACTAAAAATAAATAAATAAATGTTTTTAAAAAAGGAAACATGCTCTCCCAGGTCTGCCCTTTTGTGGAGATGATGCCTCCTCCACACTCAGCACTACATAATTGGCCTATCAGAGACCAAGGGAGGCAAGAGGATTCACCACCACCAACAACCACTCACCTTTTCTCCCTGTCTCCTCCTGCAATCCCAGAATTCATTCGAGCAGCCACTAGGGGCCCTTCTCTCTTTGCCCTCTGCCTTAGACCAGGCTGCTCAATTGTTTGCAGGGATTGACTGGGATGGGAGTCCACAATTCTCAAATGGAGATAAAGGACCACCACCTCTCTGAAGTCTCCTGGCACTGTCTTTGGACTTACTTATGTAACCTAAGGATTTTGGAACCTTGAGAATTTCCAGGCCTTTTCAGCTTCGGCGCAGCAGGACTTTCTCTTCTCTGGAGAACTGGTGACTCTTTGTAACCCCAGCACTTAGCACAGAGCTTGACACACAGTAAATGCTTTTTTATTCATTTATTCATTAACTCATTCAGTTTTGATGAAGTCCTGGGGCTGGTGACGAAACACTTACCGGTCTCAAACTTCCACAAGGAGACGGATGTCTCTGGAGGTGTGGTGGTTCTATTGACTCTCCATTTATATCACATCTCATGGCTATGGTGTCCCTCCAAAGCTCTGTCTTAGTACTTTTCTTTTTCCTTCTCTACCAGGTGTTCTTGGGGTCTGTAAATTTGTGTGTTTTAAAATATATATGTATACATATATTATACATGTGAATAACCATATTTCAATGTAATCCATTTCCTTTGTAATCCTAGGTATTTTATTTTGTGCATTTAAAAATATTATTCTGAGAAGGGGCCCCGAGTTAAAGAACTATTGCTCACTCAGTCACCTCCTCAGCTCCTATCGGTTCAACTGTCATCTCCATGGAGACTCACAGATTTACGCAAAACCCTTGTCTCTCTCCTGAGATCAAGTCTCTCAAATCTCAAATCAAGTGCTTTTTGGACTTTTTGAACGAGATGTCTTGTAGTCACCTTCAACCCAACCTATCCAAAACACAACTCATTATCTTTTTCCCGAAATTCTCTCTTCTGCCAAATTCACATCAGCCTACTTTCCAGGGCACCCAGGTTTCCAACCCCAGTGGCATCCTTTCCTCTTCCTTCCCACTCATCCCTCATATCCAATCAGTTGCCAAATCTTACCGTTTCTACCTTTACAACATCCCTCCTATACATCTCCTTCTCTTCACTCACATAGCCGCCGCCCTGGTTCAGCCACTTATCACATCCCTTCTGGACTACTGAAATAACCTTCGAATTGGTCCGAATCAAATCACTCCCCAAATTTAGGTGCCAAAATGATTTTCCTAATCATGTTATACTCTCTATGCCCCCCATTCACTAAACTCCAGTGATCCCCAACTGCCTCCAGGATCAGAAAATAAAACCTTCACAACGTGGATCTTTCCAGCATTCTTATATTTTGCTCCGTCCAGAAACTCTGTGCTCCAGGAAGACGCCACACATTCTGCTCCTCACTCACTGAGGTCAGTCCATCTCCCGTCTCCAGAATTTTGCACTGCCTGTCCCCCTCCCCCCATGCCTGGAATGCTTTTTCCCTGGGCGTCTTTCCAGACTCCTTTCCCTGGCATCCTTCCAAACTCGGTCCAAGCCCCCCATTCTTCGGGCGAACGTTCTCATGTACCCTCAAATGCTAGTGTTTTCTCCTTTCAGATGACTTTCCTTCTACTAGGGCAACTAGGTGGACCTAGCTAGAACCGGCCTGGAGTCAGGAAGACTTTGGTTCAAATCCGACCTCAGACACTAGCTGTGTGACCCTGGGCAAGTCCCTTAACCTTGTTTGCCTCAGTTTCCTCGTCTGTAAAAATGAGCTGGGAAGGAAATGGTAAACTACTCCGGTGTCTTTGCCAAGAAGACCCCAAATGGGGTCAGGAAGAACGGACAACAGCTCCGCTATCTGATATGTACCTATTTAGACGCAGCTGTTTCCAGTTAAAAGGCAAGCTTCCCGAGGGCAGGGGCTGTTCCTTTGCTTTCCTTTGTAACGCAGGGCTGTGAGCACGAGCCAGGCTCGCCGTTGGCGCTTACTGATTGTGGATTGTCCTGCAGAGCCCGCCGGTCCACCCGGCCCACGGGGTCCACGGTCCATCCTCCTCGGGGATTCCCCCGCAATGCTCCTTCTCGGAACATCCACCCGTGCAAACTCTTCCTTTGGTGCGATGCTCCATGGGGACTGCAAGCATTAAGCGACTTCAAGCTGGGAGGAGGGGTTAAGCAGCTACGCCCAGCACACCCCGAGCAGAGGCGGATTGCGAGCTGGGGCTTTCTCCCCAGGCTCCTCTGTCCCGCCGCGGAGGAGGCCCCGCGCGTGGGGGCGGAGGTGACGGGAAGCCCAGCCGGGATCACGTGGCAGGACCGTGGGGAGATGCGTGTGAGTGTGGACTTGTGAGCTGGCCTGGGCGGGGGTGCGGAGGTGTGTGTGTTGGGGGGCGGCGGGCGGGGCGGCCGGGGGAAGCTCCGCCCCCTGTGCGCATGCTCCCGCCCCGGGCACATTATAAGGCAGGGGCGATAGCTTCGGCGGGCAGAGCTGTGCGGGTTCTTTGAAGGGCACGGGGCGCCGGGCGCTCGGGGCTGCTGCTACCGCTGCTGCCGCTTGGGGAAGGACGGAGCGAGCGAGTGACGTGAGTCGAGCCTGGAGCCGGGGCCCAGCGGAGCGCGAGCCCTCCCCTCACACCCACGCCCGCCCTCTCTCCGGATCCGGGCACATAACGGTTAGTCGGGTAACGGCCGCCTCGGGAGCGCGCCTTGGCTTCGCTCGGAGCGGGCGGGGGGGGGAGGCGCGAGGAGCCGATCGCGCTGCTGCTCTCGGGGGGCGGGGGGGAAGCCGGGGAGGTGTGCGCCCGCCCGCGCGCGCCAGCACAAAGGGTTGAGCTCCGCGTGGGGATGCGGGGTGGACGGGCACCTGTGGAGCGGCGGGGGGCTCTGCGGCGGTGCGGCCGTGGAGAAGTCAGTGCCCCCGGGACAAGGGAAAGAGTCTTGGAAATGGGTGCTAAAGGAAGGCGGGATGGCGCTCATTCCCCCAGGCCCTCCAGACAGAATTGGGGGCCAGCCCCGCGCGGGCCTTCCCCACGTGGCGCCCGCCCTGGGCTCTGGCATTCCCTGGCCCAACGTAGGCAGGGAGGAGGCTTTGTTCGGCACCGAGGCGGGCTGATCCAGGCCGGTGCCCGGGACCCCCCACGGAGGCTCTTTGTCATTGCGCCTCGTGAGCGCGGGGCTGTACAGACCGGGAGCTGGAGGGCACGGGGGAGGTAGGCGCCCTTTGACGCTGAGCAAAGTGAAGTGGCTCGCCCACGGTCGCTCGGGGAATGAATGGCACAGGGTAGATCTGACGCCAGAGCTGGGCATCTTTGCGCGTCACAGGAACGCTACTTCCGAGCCATCCGGGGAAGGGATTTTAAAGTGACCGAATGGTTACTGCTAGACTGTGCAGCACCGCCGAAGCTGATGGGAGTTTGCAATCTCTGCACAGTTACAACCGGGTCCCGATGAGTGTGGACGAGAACTCTTTAGACGCGGTTGCGTTATTGCCGTTTGCACGGCGTATTTCTCTTGGGCAGGAACCGGTTACCGCTGTTGTCCTACTCCTCTTGGCCCTACTTGGGGTTTTCTTGGCAAAGATGCTGGAGCGGTTTGCATTTCCTTCTCCGGCTCATTTTACAGATGGGGAAACTGAGGCAGACAGGGTTAAGGGATTTACCCAGGGTCACACAGCTAGTGAGTGTCTGAGGCCAGATTTGGGCTCAGGAGCGCCTTATCTACTGTATTTTACGTGACTATAACTTCTAAATACGTGCGCCCACTTAATGGGGACCTGGCTGTATCAGGACTTGATGGAACCTTTTTCTTTATTGAAATGGTAGCTTTTGGACGTTGTAGCTTGTTACTGCGCTTGTAGTGAGGCGAGGTATTTGCCGCTGAAGTTGAGTTTAACAGGGGAGTTGTTACTGTTTTATAGTTTACCTAAACTGCCAGTTAACAGCGTTTGCTAATGAAAATGAAACCTTTGTAGATTCTTCCTTTGCTTTCTTTGGGAGATAATTCTGTGCTTATTTTCACCAGTCTTAATTACCATTTCCAAAAGCAACACAGCGTGGCCTTTTGTTCAAGATGTTTATGCTTTAGGAATAATACCATTTTAATAGCACAGTTTTGGAGTAATGGTGATTGGAGTCAAACTGTTGCTGCGATTTAGTCATAGTGGGCTGGACTCTAAATTCTGTATTCTAATGGGGCTTAGTATAGCTAATATAAGCCCTATGAGGGGGACCTACCCATCTCCCCAACCTCAGCTTGAGGTCAATATATAGGTTGATAAGGTTTCAAAATCCAGTTACTTACGGTTTTGCCATAATTAGCTTGTCGCCATCATTCTTGTCAACAACAAAAATGCCAGAAGGAAAATTCAGAATGTCCTAATTACCTTCTGGAGGCATAGTGGATTGAGTGCTGAACTGGAATTAGGAAGGGATGGGTTCAAATTCTAACACTGCCCATTGCCACGTGGGTGGGGGTGGCCCTCAATAAGTTACTTAGCTTTTGAATTTGTTTCCTCATCTTAAAATAGAGATAGTAATGCTTATAGTAGCCACTGCTAGGATTTGTGAGGCTCAGATGGGAAGATGAAGGTGCTTTGCTCATTTTAAAGTCTACATAAATCCTATATATTATTTTAAAACACAAGCTTTTTGTTGGTAGCAATATCCATTTCTTTTTGCCTTTATAATGTTAATCAAAATCATCATGGAATTTCTCGGTCTTGAAAAAACTAAATTCAGAGTCCAAATCCTTGATTTTACATATGAGAAAATAGATCCCATCCCTGACTTCTCTTTAAAAATTGCCTTTCTTAACTAGATCTTGATTCAGTTACCAAATATATTAATTCAGAAAATATTAGCTGCCTTTTAGCATGCAGAGCTCTCCCTGTGAGCTCCTAGAAATCAATATGCCTTAGTGTAATAGTTCCATTAAAACTCTTGTTTTTAGTTTAATCTGTTTTGAGTATGTGAACATTTGAAGTCACTTGGTCTTTGAAAGCTTGAAATGCTTAAAGGATATGCAAAATGTAAGGTGGGGGTGGGTTTTTTTTTATCACTGATTTTTAACTACCTTTTGGGGGCCTATAGGGTCCTAAGGAGAAACATAAGCATTACAGGGGCCTGAACATGGGTCTTTTTCTGGAGCATTTTCAAAAGTAGACTTGATCCCTCACAGACTGTGATCCCCTAGCATTCTAATAACTAATGGAGGCAAAGTGTAACAGCCAGTATTTTACCTTATTCCCTTTTCTGCTTCACTAAAATCCATTCAGCTCTTCCACTAGCTCCTTCTATCTTTTTCTCTTTTCTGTGTGAAGTTAGCTCCAGGCTATGATGCAGTACAGAAGAGTCTGACTTGCTGTGTCCATATATGGGGGTGGTATAAGTTTGTTATGCAAATATCCATTGGTCATTGATTTATGTGGTGGATGACTTATGAATCTGCCTTTTAAAAGCAAATGATATGAAAAATACTAATGAACCTTTGTCGGAGAAATGAAGGTAGCTCTGGCTAGAAAGGTGGCCAAGTACAGGTCTGGTGACTAATTGTGTATCTGTCTTTGAGGGCCATCCTGGCTGTTGGGAGACATTTGTTACCACAAAAGACTGCAAACCCACCCCCCCACCCCCCAAGGTGGTTCATTTTTTGGCCACAGAAACTTGTGAAAGATGACTACTAAAGTGTAGAGGGCCTTTAGTCTGAATGTGAAGAGGAAAGTGGTAAGTAGCCATGCCAGTGAAATCATGGGCCTCTGGAAGCCCTGAAGTAAAGAAATGATAATTATTTATCTGGGTAGGAGAGAGAGTGTGTCAGCATTAATGGAAGCCAAGCATTTTCCTTAATATTTCATAAGTATGTATTTATTCCCTCAAGTCACTCAAAATAAAGCTTTACTGTTCTTCTTTCCTAAGGAAGGCTTTTTAGGTGAAACTTATTTGGTGAAACTGTAGATGTATATTAATGTCTTGGTTTTTTTTTAATAGGCAACCCAAGGAGAAAAGAAATATAATTACGTCTTTAGAAATACAGCAATGTAAACAGTAAACTAACAAGTGAAAGGATAGAGACATTAATTCAATCCAGGCAGGCCTTCAGTTTTCAGAAATATAGGATGTCAAAAATATACCATAAGAAGCAGAAATTATTCATAATAAATGAGAAAATGAGACAAAAGTTCATGTCACAAAAGTTACAGTTTATTTTTTCCCTCAGCTTTATTCCTCAAAGTACTTTCTCTGTCTTTTTGATACTAATGGATTTCCAGAAAATGAGACTTTCCTTATGATGTTGATGGTTTCTTCTGTTCATGTTTTACTTGCTGCTTATAAGCTGGTACAAAATAGGATTCCTCAAATTGTGACCACCTTTATAGTTGCATATATCTGTGCTTATTATTTTGCAAACTATAAATTTCAATTTAGCGTACCAGAAATTATAATATTGCAAGCAAAGCAAGTAGTAAATGATACATTTTTGTGTGCCAGCTCTAACAAGATTATGTGGTAAATATAAAGAATGTTTTTCAAAAAGCATCAACTTGGGGCAGCTAGGTGGTGCTGTTGATGGAGCAGTGACTCTGGAGTCAGGAGGACCTGAACTCAAATTCGGCCTTAGACACATAACACTCACTACCTAGCTCTGTGACTCGTTTAACCTCAGTTGCCTCACAGAAAAAAGAAAGAAAGAAAACCCATAAACTACTTTTTTTCATTTTTCTCTTCACTCCCAGGTTTCAGATCTTCCTGAAATTTTTTAGGTTATGCTCTTATTTTCTAGCTTTTGGTTTCCTGTACCCATTTTACTTTCTGAGAGGCAGTAGGGTGTGTTGCATAGTAGACAAAGGGCTGAACTTGTAGTCTGGAGATTTGCATTGTGACTATGGTCAAGTCATTTAACATTTTAGAGCCTCAATTTTCCCCATCTATAAAATGGGAGTAATATAATTGTATGGCCTATCCAATAGGATTGCTGTGAGAAAGGATTGTTGGGAATGTTTAAATGTGAGTTATTTGCTAGTTTGTAAGCTAAGAACAAGGAACTACTTCCTCATTTGTCTGTATCTTTACCAGGTGGTAGCACAGTACTTTGCATAGAGTAGGTGTTTAATTTTTTTAAAATCTGTTGTTGAATTTAAATATACATAGTAAGCTGGAAACAAAAGCAATTCTTGTCCTTTAGGGATTTAAAATTCAACTATTTGGGATAGCATAGGGAGCAATTAGGGAATAATTAAATACATTTACAGTGTATTTGCCTACAAAATTGTGTAATCTAAAGCCATATTTTGAAATTCTTAGTCCAATACCATATGTATTCGTGTGGGTATGTATAGCTCTCTTGGACGAGCATTGCTGATAGCCCCCTAGGCCCAAAATTGTAGAGGAGAAGGAACTCAGGCTGGATCACAATTAGAAAACTGCATAGCTCTTTGATCTGACCCTGTTGCAGAAGCCATCTTGTTAATACCAGCATTCTCCTCTTAATGTTGTATGGCTTCAAAACATGGAGTACAGTTTTCTCAGAAGAATCAAAATCATAAACTAGAGGGCATTGAACAGACACATGGTAGGGGTAAGCTGTGTCATATACAACCATAACTTTTGCACAAGAAGTAGCATAAAAGAATATTAAGGATGTTCCTAACTGAAAAGGAGGTAGAATACTCACAGATTTAGGGGAGATAAGAGGGACTTTCAGAGCAGGAAGATTGGTATCTTTGATCTGGCCTTAAGTGCACTGGGTAATTATGGCAGATGTGTAGAAAGATATTGGCCAAAAATATACAATGGGAAGGAATGGAGGGATTTTGGTTTACCTTGATTTTACACACCTGTCTCAGGATTCTAATTTCTAGTGTGATAAAGAGTAACAGAATGTTATAACAGGGAGGGACGTGAAAGACCATCTAGTAGTATAATGCTTTGATTTTACAGATGAAAGTGGCCATGTTAGGTGACTTAAATTCACACAGACAGTTTATAGCTGAACCAGAAGTCAGAGCCCAAGTCTCTTAATATAGAACAAAGGCATGATTTGAGTTTAGTGGTATTAAGGAAGATTTTTTTTGGTGGGTTTACTCTTTGAATCAGATTTTGAAAAAAGTGACTAGATCTATACATAAAGATGATGAGTCTCTCAGTGGGATGAGGAATAGATTGGAGATAAGAGGAGTAAGTGGTAACCTAAAGTACTTATAGTATATACTTATATAGGTACTTAGGTAGTTGTTAGCTGACTATATATAAAAACGATGAGTCTTGAATAATCAGAAGTTGGCCCTATAAATTAGGACAGAGACTTCTTTTTCCCAAAGCCTCAGATTGCTCAGTGAGCATTGCCACCATCTAAAGCTGAAATGTTTTCACATCACAGAATTGAAGGGAGCCTCAGAGGTCATTGATTTCACTCCATTACCACAAAGGAATGCCTATCATAACATACTCAGCATATGATAATCCAGCCTCAGTATGCATAGCTTTAATGAGGAATAGCCCATCACTCAAGACAGCCTCTTCCACTTTAGGATGGCTCTACTTGTTAGGAAATTTCTGTAAGCCGAGCTGTAGCTTCCACATACTACTCCTGGTTCTACCCTCTGGAGCCAGATAGAACCCTTGTCTGCATGATAGGTCTTCATATACTTGAAGATAGCTAGCATATTTCTCACAAGTGATCATTAGACTAAACATACCCAGTTTCAACAGAACCACACATGCATAGACTAAAGGCTTTTAAGGAACAGTAGGGTTGCCTTCCTTGACACTAACTTAACGATGGCCTTCTTAAGTTTTTTGTTTCATGGACCTCTTTGACAGTCAGTGAAGCCTGTGGACTCTTTTCTCTTAAGAATGTTTTTAAATGCATAAGATTACAATGAATTATAGTTTTTAATTAGACCACAAATTAATCCCAACTCTATTGGGTATACATTCAAATTGGGTGTAAATTCATAATAAAATCTGGGCAATAGATACTTTTTATTCATTTGATCTTTTCTGTGTGGATGGACAAGCCAAATTCCTTTGGGCTATGCTATCTCTATTCTAGGAGATTTTGTAGTATCTGTACAACATCATCTGAAGAAGGACCTCTCCATCAATGTGGAATCCTTCCGTGACCTGGAATATGTGAGATCTCATCTATCACAGTAGTGAATCTTTGTGACCAGCAGAAGTCTCTGTGTTATATGTCAGCCTGACAAACAGTAAGCACAGTGGAATCTTATGTTTTCCATACCTTTCAGTCACTTGAGGTGGTGGTAAAGATGTGGCACATTGTTGAATATTGTACAGGAAAACCTACTTGTTCACTAGTATTACTTCATTTAGAATGTTCTTAGTGATTGATTAGATGACTCTCATAAAGATTTTGTATAGAAAAGAGAGCAGTCAGATTGGTGGTTGCTGATGTTTTTTCAGCTGTCCTGTTTTGGGGTAACAATACTTATAGAATCCCCCCCCATACCTTTGGCATTTTCTCCTTCTTTATCTACCTTATAACTTGGTCCCTCAATGACCTCACCATTTTATTGCCTCCAGCACAGATCTCTGTTTCTATCTGACCCAAACTTAGCTGCTTTTCCTGCATTTGATTTTTTAGTGCTATTTCTACTTCTCAAGGCTTGCCTGTGATGTTGGGGTCCAAGTGTGGTGTAGTTGACCAGTGAAGGCTGGTCTGACTGGTATGGCCGAAGCCTCCCAGGAGGCAAGTAGACCAAAGCTAATAACCCTTTTCAGCCTGTTGCTAGATTGGTTAATTTCTCTACTTCCTACTTCTTATTTACCCCTTCCTTATTAGGTAATTTAGGAAACACCTTCACTTTGCTTCTCCTGTATGTAATAGGGCAAGTCTCTCATTGGTGTCATATTGGCTTTGTCTCAGACTTTCAGCTAGAGCATGGATACTGTCCCCGACCACCCCTGTGGACTGTCCACTGCTGAAAATGTACAGCAGGCATGGAGATCACTCACACGCTGAAGACTGTCCCTGCTAGAAACTGTTCTCTTCCCCTTGTAAGTAGCAATGTTTGTTAAAGTTATCTTTGTGTGGGCTGCTGCTTTTTGTCCAGACTACTCTGCACCACATGTGATTCTACTATTCTTGATGGAAAAAAGCTTCTTGTAATTTTTGCATGTCCATTTTTCTTCTATTTTTGTCTTTGTCTAGTTTTTATCCTTGAATATTCTTGAGATGACTTTGTATATTTGGTTATCTTGCTATGCTTTCTTTAGATTGGTCTTAGGTTGAATTACTTCCTGCTTTATAAGATGATTGATGTTTATTTAGTCATTTTCAGTTGTCTGGCTGTTTGTGACCCTTTTGGGGGTTTTCTTGGCAAAGATCCCAAGGTGGTTTGCCATATCCTTCTTCAGCTCATTTTGCAGATGAGGAAAACAGGGTTAAATGACTTGCTCAGGGTCACGTAGCTAGTAAGTGTCTGAGGTGGATTTAAACTCAGGTTTTCCTGATTCCAGACCCAGCACTCTATCCACTGTACCACGTAGCTTGTCTCTTACAAAATGACATTGCTTTTAATTACCTGTCACCCTTGTTTGTGAGATTTTAGAAATGAATTTACGTTCTAGTTTGTTGGCTATGGCAGCCATCTCTTTCTGCAAGTAAGTCAAATGTCTACTGACTTGAAGTTCAAAGAATCCCTTCTGTGGGTCTCCTTTTTTTCCAATTATAGTTAAAACACACAGAGAATTTTTTTGTTATTTTAATTGGCTCAGCTCATCCCAATAGTATTTTTATAAGACCATGCCACACTTTTATATTCGTGCTCTATTACCTGGCCTTGCCTCCATTTTCTACATATTTCTTTGTAAATTTAAGTTAGTTGTTGAATTCCCTGTGCATCTACATTGGTCTCTTCAAATAACTCCCATTTTCCTTACTCATTGGAATTGTGTCTTCAGGATTTCATTCTTGAATTTCCCAAAATTTCTGGCTACTTCTCCTTGTGGAATTTTGTCATGTTTCTACCTGTGCTTCCCTTGAACCCTCCTAAAATCTAGAGTTTATGACAGCCTATACTTAGCTTTCTTCTCCTCTGTTACAAACTCTAGAGAGGGAGTGAGTGGTCACTTCCCCATAAAGTTCTCATCATTTTCACACCAGCAGCCAGATCTCTCTGGTAATAAGCAGCAAATCCAGAATAAAATTTCTCCTTGTTGATTCCTCTGCTATTTTGAAGGATAAAATTATCTTTAGAGCAAGTCAAGACTTATTCCCTATTTTGCTTTTGACATGGATAATTCCAGCTGGTGTAGAGAATTCAAATTTCCCACTACTACTATGTCATGCCTCTGTGGCAGGCTTGTAATCTGTTTCTTGAATTCCTCATTTTTCTCTTTTTGTCCAGGTAGTTTGTAGAATGTACCTCTAAGAAAATCTCTTGTACCTCTTCCCACATTGAGATTTCACCCAAATACTCTTCAACATCATTTAGAGAGGGTGTTGGGACTCTGTGCTTGAATTCTCTGACTCTCACTCAATTTCTAACTCAAAATTTAAATAAATGAAATTTTTGGTAGCTTAGGGCTTTTTTTTTTCTAGTGGGCATTAGTTTTAATTTTTCTAAAATCTCCGTGTTCTTTGACTCTATTATAGAAATCAGTTCATATATTAGTATACTTTTTCTTTTACTGAACTAATAACTTGCAGTTTTGTATTGATTAATCTTTGTCCTTTGGGATTGTAAGGGTTTATGGTCTGTCTGATCGGTTACCTGCAGTTTGTGCTTAAATTATGGTAAAGAGGGGGCAGAGTGAACATGATAATGATAGCTAACATTCCATTGTCACTTTAAGGTTTGCCAAAGTCTTTACATGTCTCACATGAGCCTCACGACATCCCAGTGAAGTAGGGCTTGGTGGTGTCCTTATTTTTGAGGCAACTGAAGTTGAGAGTCATTAAATTACTTGACCAGGATTATACGGAGAGTCAATGTCTAAGGCAGGATTCAAGACTCCAGGTCCAGCCCTTTTTCTACTACGCCACTTAGTCTTTACGTGGTGAAGTGAGAAGGCTATTACGGGATGCTTTTTCTGTGTCAGATATACAGGGTGTGTATTATATCAGAAGATTATGGCTTCCTGGAGATTATGTAGATGATAATTCTTTGGAGTTTATAGAATTATTAATGGTTTAAAATTTTTTTCTCTCACGGTAATTTGCTGGTTACCACTATATTTTAAAAATCTGTTTCATGGATTCACTGTGGCCAAATAATTCAACACTAGTGACAAAATTCATTGGTGGTGAGCTTTTCTATACTTAGCTAACCAGGATCTTAGATCATGAACATAATATCACTCAGACCATACTTGAAATCTGCTAGTAATGGAAAAGGGCAGATTAGTTCCCAGTATCTTTAATGCCCTTAAATAATGAGTTCTATACCTAAAACACTGAAGGATTTTTTTTGCTAAGTCTTGGAACTAGAACCAAGTTAAGTAAGTAACTTAACTTAGGTCCCATTGCTGTATTTTGTTCTTATGTTTTACCGACTTTTCTGGCTGGGGAAGTTAAGAAAAGAAATCCTATTAATATACTGAAAGCCTGCATAACTTTCTTCTAGATAAGCATTTTTAAATATATTTGATTTTTTCCATGGAGTCTCATAAATTTAGCTTCAAGTTATCTAATTAAAGGTCATATGATTTTTTTTGTTCAGGTTTTTTTTTCCATTATCAGAGTTGAAAAAGTAAATGGAAGTCTATATGACTTCACATTTTGTAAAGTAGCAGAGTTCATAGAAATTTTTTTAAAGAAAAAGCATAAACTAATTGTTCAACTGTTTGCCTTACCATTTTATGCATATTTTATTTTCGTCTCTGACAGAAACTACGTTGATGTTGGTACAGGGGAAGGACAAGGCAGTAAAATAGACCTCTGAACTGAGGAATGAGAGCCTTTGATCCTCCAGTACCTGTCATTGAAACATCTGTTGACTAACAAGGTTTCCTAACAATCAACAAGTATTTATTTGGCACCTACTATGTGCTAGGTGAACCCCTCCCTTCCCCTTCTCTCCCACCATAAAAGATTAGCAGCCCTTATTCTGATGGGCAGATCATTATCTTCACTGAAATGGTTAATAATAGCTCAGGTTTATTATAATGCTTTATAGTTAATAAACTGCTTTCCTCCCAAGAACCTGGAAAAGACAGTATTGTTAAGAAATTAGAATTGGTTCATTTTCATGTAAGGAGAGTAGAGATCTGGATGTCAGTACATTCTTATATGTATGGCCAGACCACCAACATGCCAACTGCTTTTTTCTTTAACCAGAGCATATTCATTCACAGATGAACAATAACATTGTTTATCTTTAAACAATATCATTGTTCATTTTAAGAAAATAGGCTAGTAAATTGGGTGGATGTATCTAGATATGCGTACCCTAACCTAGACCAAATCAGAAGTAAATATATTGGTGGGTAATCATTCTTTAGTTTTAAAATGGTATCTTTTGAGCACATTGTAGTTGCTTGTGGAATACTGTTGGAGGAGGAGAATGGAAGAGGTCAAATATTTCCTTTCTCATTTTCCAACAGCTTGTATAGTTAATTGGACTGAGTTCTACTTGGTGTTGTTAAAATAGCCCTACCTCTTTACTACATGATGAATTGACTTCAGATTAGATACAAAGAAAATCCTCTCTGTTTATCCAGGGTTACAGGATCAATGTTCGTATGCATATCATTTCTCAGTTATTCTGCCTCTTGAGGAATTTCATTTAACAGTTTTCCTTAGTTGATGGTATTATGCTCGCTTATAAAGTATTGAAAGTATCATATGGCATTTAGGGGACAAGGTGGGGGGAAGTAAAAGGTAAGTTTTGACAAAAGAGAAGCAAAGGGATAAAATAGTAAAGTGACTAGAACTCAGGAGAAGGACTTGATTATGAAGACAAAGAACTGGACATAAATATCCAGGATATACTGTGCAGAGGGTCTAGGAAACGAGCTATAATCAGTTCATCAATAAACATTAAGAATTTTTTACGTGCCTTTTGGCCAAAAAAGTCAGAAAGTGATAGAGAAAAACAAGATTCCTGGGATGAAATTGGGGTGCCATCACCAAATGAGTTGGAAGAGACTGCAGAGGTCATCTCGGCCAATCTGTATGTGAACAGAATTCTTTTCTACAATGTTCCTGAAAGACATCATTCAACATCTACTCTAAGACCCCCAGTGATGGGAACTCACTGTGTCCTCAAGCAGCCTCTAATGCACTTTTGAACAGCTCTAATTGTCAGAATTTTTAATCTTTTTTCTTAAAATTCTATCCATCACTTCTAATTCTGCCTTCAGAGGCAAGTCTAACCCTTCTTCATCTTAATAGCCCTAAGTCTTCTGTTTTTGAGGCTGAACAATCCACTATTTTTTTGCACCAAACCTCTTATGGTACTATTACGGTTCTCTCAACATACTGGTCACCACCTTTTAATTGTACTCTAATTTATCTTTCTCTTTAAATTGTAGCATCTAAAACAAAATATATTATTTTACATGTGGTCTCGCCAAAGCAGAGTCGAGTTTCTTCATTCTAGACACTATCTTTTAATGTAGCCATGGATCTAGTTAACTTTTTAGGCGACCATGTAACATTGTTGACTTATGTTGACTTGTAGTCCATTAAAACCCCATTTTTTTCCATTAAAAGAATTGTTAGTATCTGTTGAATTGGTGGTAGAGGTGGCTATGCAGACAATAAATTGGACCAGAAACCATTTGGGACTTGCATAGGAAAGGAATTTACTTTCCCAGAGACCTAAAGGAAACTAAAGGTTTCAGTTCTCTCTGGGACTAACAGTAAGGAAGAAATATGGAATATCAATGAGAAACAAAGTGTGGTGGAAAGGAAGTTTTATACCCTAGCTTATCCAACACAACTCTTTGACAAAGATATTGAAAATGTACCAGACAAAATTCTGGTTGGAAAGGTCGAGAAAAAGTCAGAGAATCATTTTTCCAGCTCAGGATGTCTTGAGACAAGACAGAGA